AAGCTTTGGGAAAGTATATAAAGGTTTGCTTAGACATACTTTAGTTTGTAGCTATCAAAAGGCGACCAGGTGCTTCAACACCAAAACTTGTTGCTGAGGTTTCTATGTTATGTCGAATCTGGAATTCTTTTCCGTCTCATCATTTCTTCTACTTTGGAAATGGGGTCAGCTCATTTATGAAGAATGGTACTATCAATTCGATAAGGATGCCTAACATTTTACATACATTTCTTCAGCTTTCGAAATTTGGAAACAGAAAAAAAAGAAAGTAACATGTTTATGTGACAGACAGGTAGCCTATCTGTCAGAGGTTCGACATCTGAACATAGTTTCTCTTAAAGGCTATTGTCAAGAAAGTGGATCACAAATTTTAGTATATGAGCATTTACCTAATGGCAGCATGTGCAATCACTTGTACGGTATGACTCCTTTAACAAAATTGGTTTTTTATGCAAGGTTGTAAATGCAACAATTTATATATCCATTAATTGTTTTTCACATACTTCACTAGATTCATCAACTAGCTTAGAGTTCAAGCAGAGGCTATCCATTGCTCTGGGGGCACCTAAAGATAAATCTAGAAGAATCTGACGAGGGAAATGCTAGTTTTCATTTTTGTTAAGGAAATTTTGTTTACTTGGTGTAGTTCTATGCCATCTGCACAGCCTAAAGCTTCATTGGTAGATAGAAACTTCAAACTGGCCAATGTCCTGGTTGATGAGAACTTCATTGCCAAGGTTGCAGATGCTGGGGTGTTCAGAATACTTGAAAAGATCGAAGAGGCAGGTCGTCTTGCACATCTACTGTTGATGTTTTCCAAGATCCAGTGTAAAAATTTATTTCTTCTGATTTTTTTGGTTTTTACCATGAAAAGGATTAATCCTTTGCCTATATTCAACTTAGACTTAGTGTGAATGTCAGGGTAGGAGCATTACGAAACTTTCCTGAAATGAGTGACATTTACTGATTCAGAGTGTTCCTTTTGGAGCTAGTAACTGGGCAGCAATCTGCGAATATAGACTCATCAGATCCGATTAAACCTTGATTCAGTGGGTAGTGTTCTTCATTTCTAGGTGTTCTCTTTAAATTGATCAACATTTTCCAAGTCTTGCTTGCTCTTTCTTTTGAGAAACACAAAAGAGAACTTGAATTATATTGCTTTTCTTACTTTTTGAAGGTACAATCACAACTAAGTTCAAACAATTTTGTTGATCACCAACTTGTTGGAAGCTTCACCAAGAAGGGAATCCGGGCTTTTATCAGGCTAACACTACAATGCATGAGTTCCCCTGGAAATGGGAGGCCAAGAATGGACACAGCTGTGCTTGAGCTTGAATAGATTCATGAGAAAGTGATGGCACTAACAACAATTATGGGTGAAGGTACTGCAACAATCACTCTAGGCAGTGAACTATTTGCTTTCAAATAAAGAGATGAATTCATGTACCAAAATTTCTTTTTTAAAAAGGAGGATTTTCAAATTTCCAGTTCTTCTTTCAATTCTTGCCAAGCTCAAGCTTTATTTCAAGCTTCTGTAATTATCAAGATATGCTTTTCCAATGATGCACAATAATAGTTACCTTGAGTCTGAAACCGCCATTTACAGAAAAAGTATGAAATTCTCTTTCCCTGTTGAAAAAGAACAATAGAAGATTACTATATTCATATAAATTATATCAAAAATGGGTAGAAAATTCTAGTTTAGTACAGTCTTTGACATGATTTGAAGGCAAAAAAACCCTGAAAAAGTTGAGTTTCCAGCTCATTTGGATAAGATATCAGGAAGATTGGTGATCGTCGTTCAGCTGGAAGGGATTATGGCAGATAAGAGGTCATCTGTGTATATATGGCCATGCCCGTGTCATTTTAAGTATAAGACAATTAAGCCAATTCAAGAAGCAGGTACCGGAAAAGTGCTGAATTTGACACTCCCTATCCCCTTCCTTTCATCCCTAAGCAATGGGACCATTCCCAGATCCTTCAAATCTAATTCATATCAAAATGTTTGTACCACGTGTGTTTTGTTGTATGAACTCTTCACTTTACCCTAACGAACTAGTATCCCAACGCTTTAAATCAGTATGAACATGATGCTTTGATCTTTTAAAAGTGAGAAAAAGTATATAGAGATTGAAATATTTGGTTAATCAACAAGTTAAAAGTTAGTCAAATACCTCTTGTGTAATCGAACCCTTTTTTATTCAGAAAAAATTAGTATTAATTGCTTGAAAATTTTCAATTTAATTTCGGTTGGTATTCAAAATTAACAAAAAGTGTTATTTTTAAAAAAAATTTCATTATAATTTAGTTAATTTGGTTTAAATTTTATTAATTTTATTAAACTTAGATATATAGGCCGAATTAACTAAATTAATTCAAATAACAAAAAATTTAGACTAGTTTAATCCGTTAATTTGATACTAATATTTCAATTATTCAATTAAAACTCATCAATAACCATGCACATAATGGACTCAAATACAAATGGTTGAATTTAGTTTTACCCAGGATTAACTGAATTAACCAAAGTAGAAAAAACATTAATTCAGTTCAAAATTTCAGTTACTATAGTTATAACCAAATTATCCTTAACATTAGAGATAATACAAAAAAGTGAACTATATAAGCAAAGGTTGATATGCCAATAATTTGTACCTATTGGTACACTACTTTTCTTTTCTTTTCTGTTTTTTTCATCTTATATACTTCAGCAAAAATTCAAGAGAATCATATTTAAGATCAAAATAGTAGATAGTATACCTTTAAGTTTAATGGATGAAATTGTGATGAGGATGACCAAATTAAACTAAGCGGATTACAAGTAGCAGCAGATCTGTCTAATTACAAGCTTATTTCTTTGCAATTAGAGGGTTTGATGAATATTTCTTGAAAATAGAACATGATTCAAATATGATCAATAAAAAATACTTCACAAAATTTGTTTAGCAACTACAAATAAATTAGATAAAAACAAATCTGAAAATAAAAGGAACTAACAATTTGTTATAAAATAATTTGAAAAAAAAAGAATCTAACAAAGAATATTAAAGATAAGGTCATGCATCTACCAAAAAAAAAAATATTTTTATTTAATATGTACTTTAAGAATAACATAAGTGCACAAAACCATGATCGAAGATCTAGTATACCTGCAAATTCGATGGAAGAAATCGAAAAAAGTAGTAGACACATGATCAGATTACTTAGGCCAAGCAAATTAGAAGCAAAAGCAGATCCACGCCCTCAATTGCAAGCCAAACTGTATCTGATAATAAAAAAGGGTGAGCCGGCGAAGGAGAAGAGCAAACTTATAGAAGTTATTTAGCTGGATATTTCTTGGAAGGTGTTGGCGATATGACAGTGAAATAAATATATGCAAAGGGATCCCATAAGGTACTTGAGAGTTAAAAAGTGTGCCACGTGAGGGATAAGGCGAAGGGCACTGCCCCTAAGCTACAGTGAAAAAAATGAAGTTTGAGGTTCTCAATTTTTCTTATATTTGATGGCAAAACTTATTTGAGAGGAATCAGGCTTATTTATATTTTTTAAAATTTAATAAAATTATTTAAAAAATTGAAATTAAAATTAACAGTTAAAAAGTTGATAAATTAAAATAAATAGACATTGATAAAATTTAAAGATACTTAAAAAAAAAGTAAGATTTATGTCAAAATAATTAAAATTTTATGTAAAATTTTATGATCAAAATAATTATTTTATGTATTGAACCAACTTTCAAAAACTTAATTGATCTGCCCACCTCTAAAAACAGTTCTGTTGGTGCAGTTTTGGCAATGTGGTGAAATTTTCCATTTCAGTTCTGACTCTGTAATCCTGTTCAAAGAAAGAAAGAAAAAAAAAAAAAAATCAATCACCACAGAGCAATGCCACGGGCAGTCCCCCGGCCCATTTGCACTCTCTTGAGCACTTGTTGCTCTATTGTTGACATGTGGCAATATGATTGACGTTCCAATCAGCAAGCGGTTTCAAATCGGTTACTTTCACTGTTACTTCTACTTCTACTGTGTTTCCATTTACATTTAGAGTTTTATTAGGTATAAAGTATATTTATTATAATTTTTTTAGTTATTATTATAAAAAAATAAAAATATATTTTTATTTTAACAATTGTTCTATTAAAAATATTTAAATGATATTATTGTTAAAAATAAAATTATTTTTTATTTTTTATACTAATTAATAGAAAAAATATGTAATAAATGTATCTTAACTTATTTTCTAAGAATACTTATTAGAAAATTTTTAAATTTATTCTTAAGTTTATCTAAACAACTCTTTTAAAAATGTATTAATTGTACGTTTTTCTTATTAATATAATAAATATGTAATTAATATATTATTAACATATGCATTAAGAGTATAGGATAAAAAGACATTTATTCTTTATTAGGTTTAACAAAGAAGTTAATATTTTATGAATTTTTTAATATGTAACACAGATTAAGTGCATTAATTACACTTTTTTTGCTTACTTTTTATTTTTTTAATATATCAGAAGTTAGTTCTTATTGCAGAAGTTTAAACCCTTAATATTGACTCTAAATGAAAACTTTTAAATTAAATGAATATTAATCTAACTGAACTATTATTGATTGATAAATGAAGATGAAAGATACAACACAAGAACTTTCGAGTAAGTCACTCATCCTAATATCACTCTCATCTAAAGACATTTAACTATGGAGTTCTAAGCCGTTTAGTGTACTAATATTGATATGATAGCATCTTTTTGCTTACTTTTTCAATTGAATTTAATATACCTAATTTTTAATTTGAAGCATTTAAAATTTAAATTGTATTTTTTATTTTTAAAATATTATTTAATGTACTTATTTTTATTTTATTTTTTATCATATATACTTCCTATTTAATATTTTTATTTGATAAAAATATTTTTAATTATCATTTATATAATATGTTAAATTTTTATTTAAATTTCATATTTAAAAAGTTATAAAATCAAACTAAAACTATTAAAAATAAATGAAAAAAGTATAAGAAATTAAGTAGTGATATAGAGAATGAAAATTTGAAATCAGTGGTTGAATATAAATCAAATTATTAAATAAGTTAATATATATAATATTATGAGTTTAAATAAAAAATATTATTAAATAATATAATATTTATTTTTTAATATTTTAAATAATATAACATATATTATTAATTCTAAATTCTAATCTTATAAAATTTATCTCTTTTATCATTATCTATAAAAAATGATAAAAATGGAAAATGAAAAGACAGTAATGAAAAATAGAAGAATGTTATTAAAAGAATGGAAATTAACTATGTAGGTTTCCAATTACGACGGTCGAAAAAAAAAAAATGAAGGTTTACAGCTATTTCCCTGTCCCCAGTCCAAGATTGTTTTCGTTAAATATAGTTACCACATGTCACTATTAGAGCCGCGTGTGCTAAGAGAGTGCAAATGGAGGATTGCCCTTAGCACTGCCCACCACGATAATATCATCTTATGATAAAATTAAATTAATATATATAAACTTAAAAATGATAATACATGAATATTACAATATATCATCTTCATCACCACCATAATTTAGTGCGATATTATGTTTTTTATAAAAATTATTTTAATGCACTGCTGTCTCACGGTGTGTGTTTCTCTCCTCAGATATTTTCTCCGCCGCCGATTCCTTTCTCTCCTGTCGATGTCGTTGCCAGCCATTTACAAAATGTTAATGTAAATGTACAATTAAAGCGGTTTGTACGAACGGCATGTTTCGACTTAGTGATATGAACTTTGATTTAAAGTCATTTACCTCTCATAAATTACTCGTATTAAAGGTCTACAAAATCCTTTTCTCATCCTCAATTAACACTCATAAATAATTGTAATTTATTAAAAAAAAAAAAAAAAAAGCCGTTTGTTTACTATGTGGGAACTCAGCTTCAGTTCATGGTCCATGCGAATGCGTCCCTGAAACGTCGAGACATCAAGACATGACAAACTAGTGGTGGACCCAGAAATTGATGGGAGGGATCAATTTTTTTCTGTGAAAGAAAATCTATGGCGAGGAGAGATCATAGCCACAAGTTAGCAATATCTCCTCTCCGATTGAAAAGAATTTGATGAAACTCACTCTTTGTCTTACCAATTTTTTGATTCTTAAATTCTTCCTATCGAAAAAGGAGGTTCAGATCTTTCTCAACCAAAAGGGAGATTCAGATCACAAGAGAATTTTACAACTGCTCAATAGATATGCATACATAATCTCATTCTATGACTTGATTTGATTAATAATTTATTTTTAAATCTTAATATTTAAATAAAATTAATTACAAATTTAAATTTTATCAACTATTTGAATACTAATTAAATATTTGTATTAGGTCTATGGAGTAAATATGCAAATAAGGATTCCAACTTTGCATTTTTTTTCTATTTAAGGATGTTAATTTTGACAGTTTCTAAATAAGGATGTCAACTTTCAATTTTTTTCTAAATAAGGATGTTAACTTTGTCAGTTTCTAAATAAGGATGTCAACTTTCAATTTTTTTCTATTTAAGGATATTAACTTTCAACTTTTTCTATTTAAGGATGTCAACTTTCAACTTTTTCTATTTAAGGATTAATTGAATAGTGATGCCGACGTGGCTAACATATTTTTTTAGGTTAAATATTTGAATTGGTCCCTCAACTTTTATTTTTGAACCAATTCATCCTTGAACTTCA